GTATATCTGCGGACTTACAACGATAGAAACCGGGTTTGGATACCCGTGGTGGGCAGAGCACAGATAGCCCATTATGTAGCTTTGTGCTTAACCATAAAAAACAATTAGTTTCTAGATGTTCTATTCTGTTTTTTTTCTTTTCTACCGTAATGATGCTTTTTTTCTGCCTAATAATCTCTTTTTGTATTTCTTCAATTTAGTCATTAAAGTCTTTCTACTCGTCTTCAATCTTGTTGTTGTAATCCCTCTATACATTTCAAATAGCTTCATCAATCTTTCCTTCAATCAAACTTATTTTTGTTTTCAATTCTTTTAACTTCTCTCTGAAACTCCTATCTCCTCTTTGTTTTTCGTCTTGTTCTAATTCTCTGCCTCATTCCTCTAGCTTTCTGTCTTCTTTTTATTTTCTGACTCGTTCCTTTTTGTCCTTCTTTGAATTTCCTGTCTCTTTCTTCTTAGCCTTCTTTTAACTCTTCTATCATTTCTAGCAAGGTTTAGACCAACATTATATTTTATTTTTAGCAAAATAAACCCACTTCTAACACTAACATTGTAGTTCAAGTAAGAACAACAAATTAGTTTATTTCTCCCTTAAACTTGCTACAGGCTATTTTCATTTGTAGTTGTAGGCTTAGATGCTCAAACAAGTCCCAACATGAATTTTAAAGCTAACGGTAAGTACGCCTTACTCACAAGTAAGCTTATTTACAAACTTTCTTCCAAATAACTAAATAAATTCACTGAATCAACTAAATTCTCACTGAAGCTTCACGAATTAATTAAAATATATTCTCGTTTTTACAAATTCCACAAAATTATTAGATTATTACAGGAACTTTCTATGTATTCCAGAACTGCTTTTCTTTACTTTCTAGCATCTTTATCTTGATTAGCATCTCGTTCACTCTAGTAAGCAACTAAATTAAAACACTTATAACACCATGAATGCCCATCTCGGTACTTCATTGGTAAGCTTATCAGCAGAGCCATATTATTTATTAGGCACAGTGCCTAGGGCCTACGAAAAATTGGAGCCTACGAAAAGTATATTTCAAATCATTTAAGAAATTTAAATATTATAAAATTATAAAAAATATAAGTATAAAAATATAAAATATAATTATATTTTATTTTAATAGAAGAAAACGAAACAATAAGAGAAGGTTTTTTTTTCAAATATTAAACAAAATTGCTCACATACAATATATCAAATGTATATCAAAATAAATCAAATGCAATCTTTACGGGATTTTTTCAATGCAAAATTTCTGATAATGTCATCAGTGTCCATCTTTCGAAGCAGTTCACTCTCAATTGAAAGTAAGGAAAGAGAAGAGAGCCGGTCTTGGCTC